AAAAAAAATCTGTGTTTGTGTTTATATTTATGAGGTTCTATTCCTACATAGATAGGGGAAGTGAAAAAGGAAAAACCTGGGTACTCGAGGATAAAACTGGGGGGGGGGTGCGCACCAGGGTGGCCAGCTTATTCTCATGGGGGGCATGGCCCCCCCACCCCCTTGCTGGCGTCCCTGTCACGGGAATCTTGGAACGTGCACAGGCCTTGGTCCTGGAGGATGATGGACCAGGTGACTGAAACCAGTCTGTTTATAGACCTTAAGGTCTCCTCTGACCATGTCTTTATTTCCAGCTTTATTCAGTGAGAAACACTCAAAGTGTTTAAAGTGATGACCTGCTGAYGCAGGAGCTTTTATTTTCCTTCAGAACAAAAGGTGGATTCTTACAGCTCTCCAGCTGCAGCGTGCACGTCTGCTTGTCCATGGGATACTTGGTCAGGTCCATGTTGCACGCCACTGTCGTGGTTATCCTGCAGCAGAAACACAGCATGGTAAAAACACTCGACTGGTCTTAGAGGAGTCAGACTTCACTGTTTCTGATCTTCACTTCTCAGCCCACGCTCACACAGAACTCAGCTCTGCAGCTGCTGAACYGTTTCTGAACCAGAGCTTCTTTTATCTCCTACAAACAGAACTGATTCATAAAGTAACAAACTCTTAGATCTTGATGGACGAGGAGTTTTTTATCTACCTGACGTCAAATGTCAGAATTTTAACTTTACTGCAACAAATTTGAGCTGTAAAACCCTTTTTCACAAACATGAACTCAGCACTTTATCCTTTATTCCCTCTTGTCTCAGCAGAGAAACATTCAGCACAGCTGTCCTGTTTCCTCTGACACCTCCCTGCGTCCCTTCCCACAGCTCCTGACCCCCGAGGCGTCTTTGTCTCCGGACARCAGTACCATCACCACAACTTGTTCATATAACAGAATAATTACAACTTTCTCTRTAGTAGCAACACCTTCCTGATAACTTCTCTCCATTGTTCTGAGRTGTGTCTCTGTGAGTTTTGACTTCTACTTCCTGTTTCCTACACACTGGTGTGATGACTTTGTGTAGCCTGGTTGATTCTCTCCAARCCAGTAGATGGAAACACGTCTGATTCACATTTCTTCTTTTTTTTTCTCATTTCTGCATCATTTAAAAAAATTTGCTTAAAAAATTACTTGGAAACATGACTCCAGAAAACTACACCACCTTTCAGTGTGAGTGCTGACTCAGCATTATGCCTCCCAGTGTTACGATTGAGCTTGGTTGATTAGAACCCCAAGATGCAGAACTGAGTGAGGTGGCAAAAAGTGGTTTATTAAAACAAAAACAAAGTTGCTGATGTGGCAGCAAACAAGAACAAGGGATTTTGGGCAGGAACAAGAACAGTAAACAGAGAACAAGGAGCTGACAAAGACTGAGGACAAAGGACAGAATATAAAGGAAGAACTAATGAGGTAAAACAAGAAACACCTGGGGAAGAAACATGAGGATCAGGTGTGAGTGGGCGGGGCTAGAGCAAAGGCAGACAGGAGGAAGAAAACAGGAGGAAAAGACAGAAAACTTAGACTAAATCATAAGCACAGACACAAATCATGACTGTGATCCCACCTCAGAGCGTACAGGACGGTCCCGTTGGGGAAGATCCTGATCAGTCTGTTCTCCACGGTGATGTCGTGGAGGAAGGACTTCTTGGAGTCCACGATGAAGGTGTCGGGGACCCAGAGGAGTTCCACCAGGCGCCCGTCCAGGCTCAGGCTCTTGTTGCCCTCAAACACCAAGCGCTCGTCCGTCCAGCGCTGGCGGAGGAAGATGGTGGCTGTGTAGTCCTGCAGAAAGCAGACAGAGCACGAGGATCAGACGTGCACGCCGCTCGCCAACACTTCCGTCACATCTCCTGCTTTGTTAAGAGCTGGARGTTTCCTGCATGAAGACTTCTGCACGGTGCAGCCAGCACAGAGGWGCAAACAGAGAGAAGAGTTAAAAAACATCAAGGCAGTGTTTTCATCCAGTGAGATGTTTGCGAGGAACAGTTTCTGCTCAGAGTTTGGATGTTGCAACATTTCCACCCTGACTTGTGCAGAAGGAGCTGTRATCATCAGCAGATCCCCCCGGCAGGACTCCGGCCCCTCTACGCCTCCTAATTACACCAGTTAGCAGCTAAAACCCACTTTCTACAAGAAAAACTGAAGAAATGCTGAAGAGGCAAAAACAAAAAAGTCAATGTTTGCTTTTATGCTTCAAAATCTTTAAAGATGAATCGTTTTCTGAACTTGTATAAATGTTTAACAGGCAGAACGATAAAAACAGAAAACTTTGCCCACATGAAATAAAACAWGATTCAAATGTTGGTTTTCTGAAGAGCTGAAGAAGAAAAGTAAAGAAGACCTCACCATGTTGATCTCTGAGATGGTGTCGATGCTGGCGATGTCCAAGCTCATCCCCACGGTAACAGGACCGTCTGTGAGACAGGAAACATTCAGACCTCTGACACAGCCTCACACACAGCATCATGTCTTTAATAACAACAACAACAACAACAACAA